TACTAACGCATAAATATACAGAGTGATTCTTTTATTATAAATCGCCTAATTAATCGAAAAACATAAATAACATAGAGAATTTGTATTATTCGTTTTTTTTTTTTTTTTAGTGCCATGTTTTTATCGATTTATCAATCACGAAATTCTTTCTAAGTTTTAGCTTTATACTTTATAAGGGTGTCAACTTAAATTCTGCACGTGGCAACATACGCAATTAATTAACTTACTTATTCGATAATGATCTAGTTAAGCAAAATATATATTTTTTTTCGTAAATATATATGATTCTCGTCTTTTTTCAACTGTAATTACGATTTTCAAAATAGAAAATAATGTTTCAATATTTCCCTAAATAAAATATTAACAAAAAAACTATCTAATTGAATCAGCGTAAAAATAATGTTCAATACAAAAAAAATATCAACGTTGTTAATAATATAAACTATAAAAGATAAACACCCTTATCATAATCAGATTCATCCCTATGGAGAGGCAATTACCTCCCCCATACATTATTTCCTGTACAAAAAAAATATTATTATGGGTGCACCTATTACACTCGTAACTTGAAAAAAATGAAATTATAAATATATATACATTTCATATATATTCAAGTAGACATGAATTATGGTTAAACGGTTTTTTTTTTTAAATAAATTTAAATAGTATTGGACGATGTTGTTTAACATCCAATAATAATATTAAATACGAATAACACTTTTACTTTTAGCTTAAAACAATTATCAAATGACAGTGTTTTTTCTTTTTATACTCAAAATTATTTATCTATTATTTAATTTTATTCAGTATCAAATAAATATTTGATAGACTATAATAACTAGAAACTTTTTTTGTAAATATTATAATTTTTTTCTATTTGTAATAACAAATTTGTATATTTAAAAACAGTTAATAACTCCTAAAAGTATTTGCAACGAGCACATAAATATGATTATATTTTTGTTTCTTTCCGACACAAGACAAATTCTCTATTTTCGTTAACAAGAGCGTAAATAATTTTTGGAGTTTTTCAATTTCTCGGATAATGTTTACACATTAGAACATAAATTTTCTACTAGAACGCAATGATTAGTATTAAGATCGTTAAACTATTAACTCTTAATTCATTAGGAGTACTGAGCATAGTAAATCCCTCGTAATCGGTTTATGTCGAATATGATTAACCCATTTGTAGCTTGTGTGTCCTTTCGATAAAAGTTTTTTTGAGTACTTATTAAAAATGGATCGTTTTTGAGTCATCCGTCGTCGTTATAAAACTGGTACCATACTAAGCGTTTATAATATTCTCACGGCCGTATCGATACGCTTTTAAAACCCCTTACAATTTACCCTAATAAAACTAACTAAAATATAACTTAAATATATATGACAAAACGGGTTTTCGTTTTAAAACACCCTTGGTGATAAAATACATTTATACAGACGACTGTTTACCACAATATCCAATGCATATCGTTATACTATTAACAAACATTGATTTTAATAAAATCCTTCCAATTTCTAGTCGTACATGTAAACACAAATCAATCCGATGTTTAGTTTTATTTTTGTTGCTGCATTTGGTGTGTGTTATTACGTTGGCATCAACAATAATAACTATTCAACTTTAACAACGTTGATAAATTTGATTTAATTGTGCACGAAGCGAAAGGGCATATTACCACAGTGGTTTAGCTAAAAAATATATTTCAAGGATCTTTTATTATTCTATCATTGCACCGCAGGATCTCCGAAGGCCTGTGCGTACGGCGCATACTCAGTGCTGCTAACCACCTCTACTGCGGTAATCAGTACCAGAGGAGTGAGCCGCTGCAAAAACGCCCATCACGAGCACTATTGGATGACCCAAATTCGAGCTCAGGCGCTTTCACCCGAAACGGTCGCGGCCTTCCGTCGCCCGTTGTTTGCGATTCGCCTCCCTTCCCAATTGCGTTTTGTAATGGCCCACCTGCGATTCTCTAGATTTAATACACGCTCTATGCGAATTCATTTTGCCAACAAATTATCAATTTCACTTTTCGTTCATTTGTATATTTTGCACGGAACAGCGATACAACGGCGAACGGAGGCCACGAATATTAATTGACTCTCTTTTCATAAGCCGCCGCGATAAAAATTAAATAAAAAACCCATACGCCCTTTGCCGAATCAGTACAACTCGGAGTTTGTAGTGTGAGATCGACTTCGATAGCTTTACACTTGTTCGTGTACACAATAGATGTTACGGCCAAGAAAGTTTCATCGGTGTGATGGAGCGGAACGAGCATCGAGAAACTTTAAATCGAGTGCCGCCCAAGTATACAACTCGTCTGATGATAACGTCGTGGCATCAGTCTAAGGGACCCAGTTGATACCTATTCGGTCTCGAGTGTGTTCCCGCAGCTTGTGTACTTACCGAAACCCGACGCGGTTTCGCGGCCGTAACGACAGAAGAAAATTAACATTTTATTGTGACTGTTGTTGTTCGGAGGTACGGAAATTTCATTGGTACACGTGGTAAAAACAAAAGAACACCGCGGACGTGATTTATGGACACGGTCCGTACACTGTACACAATACACAACGCGTACTGCGCTGACTAATATATTATGCGACTAATCGGTTTCGGGTACACAAAGCCCATTGTACCTCCTCGCTGCTTTGGTGTGCACTCAAAACTACCGTCCGGTGAATAGGGTTACTCACAGTGCTTACCCATTCTCGTCATTAAAACGCACTGCTTCGTCTAAGTATAAATTAAAGTATCGAGGAAAGTACCGAAAACGATTCTTATAAAAAAACCAATAAGCCGACACGTCTGGTGTTTGGAGTAACAAATGTTACTCGGCTTATTATCCGCTGAGAAGTATAGAACGTTCGTACATTCAGAAATAAATGAGTTCCTATGAATAACTGTTCAACAGGGTGATAATAATATTTAAGTCGAGACAAATTTGTTTTATAATTAAGACGATCGAGTGGCACTTTATATTGGAAAATAAAATATTCAAACGTTTGCTTACTAGTTAGTCTGAAGCAATCGACACAACCTGTAACATGCGTGTGAAATGGGATACGTTATATTATAATGTATCCAAAATGAAATGTTAAAATACGTTAATTTGTTAAATTTCTTAACTAGCCTCGGTAAACGACATTTGCGTTACTCATTTAACGTCAATCATACACTTGTTTAATGGCACAACAACATAATTTTATTACCCAGCACCTCAGACTTCCTGATCTTGGCGCCCCCTATCGGTTTCCGGTGACAGCGACATCAACAAGAGAAACGTTTTAACGTTTTATGCGACTCCAAATAGTTAATCTCCACTTAAAACGTTTCATGTTATAGTTATACGGTCATATTTTTTTTTATTATTACCACACTTTCCTTGAATAATCTTAAATTGTGTATTTCTTTTTTTTTTTTTCATTAGTCTGTATTGACGACTTTATCCATGAAATCTGCCACGACAACGTGCTATGCGTAATCATTATCAATCATCAACATGTGCATTGATATTGGACAGAATCTTAGTGGTTTTCATTATTCGATTATTATTGAACCTTAACAATAATTAATCATTTCAAAAAATGTCATCGAATAATCTTTTCGCGTGATGGCAATTGCAATTTGCAAGACAATACGGACAGTACCATTAAAACAAAATATTATGCAAAAGGATAATGAACACTTGTTGATGTTGTACATTAAAATATACAGCATTGTATAGGAGGTAGTCGTATGTCTCAAAATGGAAAAAACGCAAAACCGTAATAATATTATAATGCAAAATAATTTATTCCAAGTAATAAATCAATTTTATGTACAAGCGTGTTTATAGACATTTTTACAAAACTTAATTTAATACAATATAATTGCATAATTTTATATGCTAATTATAAGTAACATACATACACTTACAATATTTTATACATAAAAATATAGAAAAAACATATATGGGCACTAAGTATATTATTCTAAAGGTAACAAAATGTATGGCGATCTAATGACATTACGCAAATTTCGATTTTGATTACTAAACAATAAAAAAAAAAAAAAAAAAAAGAGTCAAAAACGCAATAAGGTTTAGGAAAGTAATGAAATGAAACGAGTGAAAATAATCGACATAAACGTAGTAGAAAACAAGATCAAAAAAATAAAGAAATGTTTATTTTGGAGGGTTGTCGTTGACAAATCGATCGATAGTTTATCGGACAGCAGCAATTTAATAGTAAATTGTCTACGGATCGGGTGACGTCGCTGTTAAAAACCTAATTAACAGTTAGAAACGGAATCGACGTGGACCCGATAGAGTTCCAAGTGTTTCCCGTCCGAGGTGTAAACCCGTTTGAAATATCTCCAACCAAACGAGTCAACATCGGTATTTTCGATTTGTTAGATAATATTGTAAAACAATGCAATTCGAAAAAGAATAAGTTATATTGTTCCGGGGTGTCATCGCCGCCACAAAGACATGAGTATGTGAGCCAAGGGAAGTATAGTAGGCAAACACGCAACCAGTTTCACCGGTTGCAACATTTGACGCTGGGTTTATTCGTTTTTTATAATTCCGTACGGTTCTTGTCAAGAAGGTACTTAACAGTTTATTTATTTTACACAAACGCAAATATTGTATGATAAAAGAACTTCTTTGTAGGCACGATGACTATTGGTTTTTGTTTGTATTGGCAAAACGAAATGATTTTAAGTATTTAAACGACCGTTCGGATCGGAATGGTTATTTCGTGGCCGTCGAATCGCCTAACACAACAGAAAAAGTAGTATCACAGTTGAGATTCTTTTAAGAAAAACATAAAAAAATAAAACTAAGAAATAATATTGCAGAGACCGACAACGATCACAACGTCCATTCATACTAATAATAATTATATGCTAAGATCGAGAAGGCAACGTGATGCACAGTAATAATTTATCGTGAAATTTTCTACTAGTTACAAAAAAGTTTTTTTTTTTAACTAACGACGTTAACGACTCGACCGAACTTATCACAAATTGTTTAAATATAATAAAAATCATCTGTTAAAACGGTAAGCGAACATGAAAATCAAACCATAAATAGAACACGTTACCGTTTCACGTGAATTTTTATATGGCACCTCGTAGAAAACGGGCAGATCTAACTGAACTCTGTGGCGAAGTTGTCTTCGAATATGTACGGGTCGCCGTTGAAGTCGATGGGCGGCAGGGCATGATCGGCGAACGGCATGAACGAAGCGGCGTCCGGAAAGTCGGTGGCCAACAGGGACGGGAATCCAACGTCGGTAGAACAGGAAGAAGGCGAGAGCGAATAGGCGTTTAAGTCTCTGAAAACAGGGTCCAGAAAACCACAGCCGCCGCCACTGCTGCTTCCGGGTGGCGTCGACAGAGAGCACTCGCTCAGTAAGTCGGGCGCGTACTCGCTGAGTAGAGAGTCCACGTCCGACTGGGACGGCGAAGTTCCGGTCGCGGTACCTGGCGAAGGCTGTGCCGACAACAACCCGCTCAATGCGGAAATGTACTTCATGGCCAGCCGTAGGGTGGTGATTTTCGTCAGCTTTTCATTGTGCGCGTCCACCGCCAGATGCGGAACAGCTCTTCGGAGCGCTTCGAACGCCTCGTTGATTTCCCTCATTCTGCTCCGTTCCCGAGCGTTAGCAGTCTTTCTCCTGTACCTAAAACAATTACATAACAGCTTGCTAAAGTCACCATTTCTTTTTTTAACGACATAATTATTAACAGATTTATTTTTTAATTAGTTTATGACTAATAGTATATTATTTGGTAATAATATAAAATTTAATGTTACTAAATTCATTTAACGACAAAAATTCAAGGACAGTAATTATTTTTAACCTTAATAATGCCCGACAAAACTTTATGTTTAACTTTTTTTAATTTATAATTATTTTATTAAATGTCATTTCCGAAAAATATAACCATCTAGTCTAAAATAGTACGAATCTTATAGATTTCTACAATATTATAAATCAAACAAAAAATAAATAATTATAAATTTACGTTTGATTAAAATGATTACATGATTTTCAGTGATCGCAATGTAATTGAACGAATTTTTAATTTATTTAAGAAATACAATACATCTACAACGGATGCTGTAAAAAAATTGGATTTAATAATATTCATTATGACTGGTAAAACAAATAAGACCCGCATATGTATGTAATAATTATAATATTTTTCTTCAAAATAAAAGTAAAGATGTTTACTTTGTTAGGAAACGTGACGCTCATGTTTAGTCACTTGGTTTAAAAAAGCACTGTAATGTTTCACTTATTTATCTAAATTAAACACGAACTATACGCGTTTCTAACGAGATAGAACCAATTAAAAAGGTTTAATGAAGTTGCTACCCCAAGTGTACTGGGTGACTACAAACAAATCGATAAATCACAATTCGGGCGTGACTTAACAAATACATTTACTTACAAGCAATGTTTACATTTAGATTTAATTTCCATTTAGTATTGAATTTCAATAAAATTAATCAATAGATAATCATGAAGCATAAAACATGGATATTTTAACTTCAAAGAAAATGAACTGTATAAAAAAATAGTGTAAGCCTACCGAAAATTCAAAGACGAGATACTCGGGAGAATAAAAACTTCCGTTCTAATTATTGTCAAACAACAATAATAAAATTGAATACAACTGAAATCCGGAAGAATACAGAGAAAAGTAAAATTAATGACTGTAGAACCTTCCTGTTTCCGACTCGAACCCTGAATTATGTAATTTATAGATATTTAATACTGCGCCTAATAGATATCGGATAAGTGTATAACTTCTCAATAAAATTAAAACCCATTCAAGTGAATCAACGACTTAGATTATCTAAATATACTACAACATTTAGCAAGATGAGGAAATCTTCAATTTATTTTAATCTTGCTATTAATGTTTACAAACTTATGTATCGCAAAAACACTAAATTTCCGAGCACCCAAAATTTATTAATTAAACAAATAATGGAGCTTCATTGGGTTGATAAAAATTGCCTAAAAGATTTTTTACCAAAAACAATAAAAATATATCAATAAAACGTATATGAAAAAATAACATAAATCTAAATTTTTAATTTCTTTAAAACTTATAAAAACACTCGTAGTATTCTTGTAAAAAAATATATATACCTGCTTAGGGGTTTAGGTTTTTGCCTCCGTTTGGCCGATCGTCCTCGGCTCGAAGGCTTCCATCCCTCCTC